TTGCCAGACAGTGCTTGCAATGGCAAACTTCCTGCTCCTTTTCCAGCAGTGTTAGCTGGTGAAACTCTAGTAGTACCTCTGGGGTCTCTAAGCTTTGGCTCTTGTTAACTTGCACCTAATATTCGTAGGAATTAAGTAAGCGGGGTACATCCCTCCAGGGAGAGAGTTAACATTTCATTGCAGACACAGGAAAATGTCCATATGAAGGTGGCATACAAATATGGGACCCTGCCTTGTTTGGAAGGGTTTCCATGGGTTTCCATGTGTGTCAGACACCTGGCTGACCAAAACTAATTATATAAATACAAGTTGTTGATAATACAATTCCGACTGTTTATGATCTGCTGCCTATAGTGTATAAACATAAATTTAAAACTTTACAAAAAAGTAATGGACAAAATTACAAGGAGTGAAACGAATGTCATCACATTGCTTGTGACTTCCTCCGTCCTCAGGTGGTAGTATCATGGCACATCATTGACCTGGAGCATACCAACAGGTATTCATATTTATAGCCCAAACACAGTGTTCTTTTAAATGACCCGGGTAATTTCAAAGGTGCAATGCAACAACAAAATTACATTTGTATAGTGCCTTTCACGTCGGGAGGACATCCCAAGGCACTGGACAGTCAGAGTTTCGGATTTCACTCTGATTTCAGCTGATGGATTACAATTTGCTGAGGTTTTGTGGCTGGAATTTGTAACATCCTCTAAAAGACTTGATTGGTCCATTTTCTATTCATTGTATTTTATTAATACTCATGTCGTACGATGTAACAGGAAGGGTTTCCTCCCCTTCTCATAGGTCATAAGGGAATGCATCTGGAGGGTCTTATCATTGAACCTTATGCTAAGATGTTCCCTCTAGTCAAAGGAACTGAAGCTGACTCATCAACAGGTTTGTTTGATAGTGAAGATCATGTAATTCCTGTCCAGAAAACTCTTAAAATAATGGACATTTCACATGGCTGCTCATGTATTTCTTACCCAATGTGGAGCATAAAACTATCACTAAGAAAATTACGACTGCTAATAGGTAAATGATCTTTCTTTACAGCATAAAAATTTCCTGTGCAAATATCCTTCCTTATTGCACTGTAATTGCAGCAGATGGTCCAGAGTTTTCATTGGGAGATAATGAAACCTGGAAATGTTTTTTTTCATGGTCAAAGCATGTAAGAGTATTAAACATTTAAAGTGTTCCTTGAAGCTACCATTTTTCCATCAATCCTCTTTGTGATATTTTATGAATGCATTTTAATTTTACTGATTGTCACATTAACATTTTTATTTTCACATTTTGAGGCACTATATAAATCCAAATTGTTGTTGTTGTTTATATGTGGGAGTGGATGGGACAGGGGGTCCTTCCCATGAATAAGTAGGAAGCAGAATCCACATCAAATTTTAAACATAACCAGCATATTTTCTTGTACCTATTACTTAGTTTAGAGAAGAGAACCCATCGGTTCTGTTGAAAGTGAGGGATTCTTTATGTGGATAAGGCTTGTTCAGTTCAGTTATTACATGTTGGTCAGTTCCACTCTTTAAAATGCATATGTCATTTCTTCAGGAATATTCATTGTGGAAATAGGTAAATTCTAATCAATGTTCAGAACTCCCTTCTGTAATATCAGAACTCCTTTCTTAAATGTAATGATTCAAAATTCAGTACAAGACATAGAGAATCTAATATTTGGACCGTTAGTAGCTGACATGTCCTTTTATATCTCTATGTGGTAATAACAGTCTGGCATTAAACACATTTTGGGTGATGTTAATACCACTGTGCACACTTTGCTGTAGATTTAGTTCAGCGTTGAATGTTTTAGATTAAAAATACTGACGGAAACATTTTTTGTCAGGAGGATGCAGATCTAATTGACTGGTCACACTACATGTTCTGAATAGTAAAACACTGGATGCTTCTCGTGTTATAAGTCACATTTGGCAGGGCCTGAAGAATGCCACCAGTCTGAAGCTAGTTCATTTTGTGTTGATACAAAAGAATGAGTGCACATACTATTCTTGCATATGCGGAAGCATCATATATTAATACTGATGATATTTCTTGCACATTGCAATGGGTATATTCTTCTGAATGGATATATAGGAAATGGACCTGAGTGCAGACTTATGAGGAAAAAGTAATTTCCTGCTGAAATTGGCACATATCCAGAATCGCCCTTCACAAGAATGTACTGAGGATAGCTGGAGCCATAGGATAAAAGAGTCCCACATTTGACTGAACGTTGCAGAAACATTAGTAGTTTGCGCCCGGGAGCGTGAACACATCAACATGGTCAGCATGCTGAAGACATCAAACCTACATCTGAAATGGGTTTAAAGAAATCTGACGTGCAGGAAGAAGAAAATTACTGGAGACGGAAGTGAGAAAAATAAGCCTTTTCATGAAGCAGGAACTTAATAGGTAAAGTAACATTTTACATTGTATTTTAAAATCAATATATCATATGTGATATAAACACATATGGGTAACTTCACTGAAACTGCGCATTTGCAAATGAATAACACTTTAACAATTGTGATGTTTTCATATACAATATTTGCAGCGGCAAATTAAATCCAGTCAGTGTGAGTTAGTCAGGAAAGTCAGTAAAGGAGTTTCAAAAACCGATGAGAAATACTAGGATGCAATCTGTAACTTTGTGTTCTTAAAATGTCACTCTTTTCTGTTCACAGAAATACAAAGTACTTGCTGCTGAACTTTGGCAGGGCCCGTCACTTGAAGGTCATCCAAACAGTTTTGCTCTGGATTCAGGACCACCCTTTCATACCTCGCAACTGCCTTTCAAGGTGGTAATTGCCTGAGAATGACAGCAACTTGCATTTATAAAGCACCCTTCACGCAGGGCAGCATCTCGGAGTGTTTAAAGAAAGAGATTCAGCAGAGCTGGATGATGAGAAGAGTATTGTTTCATTCATTTAATTGGCGGGCATGTATGCTGGGAAGCCTGGACTTCTATAGACATCAGAGAGGCTCAGAATTGATTCATGCAATTCAAGTACAGTAAAAGAATATTGATGCAAGATTTTTCGTATAATTTTTTTGATGTCTTTTAAAAAATTATATTAGTAATGAGATTAAGAATGAACAGAACTTGTACACCAAGCCCAAGTATATTGGATTTTTTTTTAATTACTGTGTTTTGCTCTGAGCGAGCAGATGTTATCTCCATTGTCAAGATTTAAAATAATCTTAATAATCCTTGCATTTGATATACGCGTTAACACATCGGAAGGATATCTTATGTGAAAGATATAGCAATCACGCATTAAGGTCAGCACTACATGTTTTTGTGTTTAATGGCTTCTTTACTGTTTTTTGTACTGTTTGTTTATTGTCTATCTAGAACGCTGTAGTCGTGTCCCCTCCTGCACTAGGATCCACGTTCCTATCACTCCTATTCTCGCTCGCCATCAAGTTCAACATCTCTGTTTTGACATTCAAATCCCTCTTCAGCCTTCGCCACCACATTCTGCCACCTCCTTCAACCACACTAACCCAGCTGCTAACTTCACTTAGTAAAAAATTGGCCTACTTCATGTTCCCCATCCTTTCAGCCTGACTATTCACTGGCGAGCTTTCAGCCATTCCACCCTACTCTCTGGAACTCCGTCCTGGAGTACCTCTAACTCACTCGCTCCCTTCCCTCATTCAAGGCATGTCTGAAGAAGTATCTTTTTGATGGCACTTTCAGTCATCTTTCCCTTCCCCATCCCCTCATCTCCCACCACCAGCTCAGATCCCCAGCCATAATTCTCGAGCACTATGAGACATCCTCCCAGCATGAAATGCACTATAAGTGTATATTTATTTTATTTCAACTTGGATTGCTAAATCTTTCACACAAGATGTCCTTCTGACATGTTAAAATGGCATACTAAATGCAAGGATTATTAGGATGATTTTATAAAACAATGTACCTTTTTCAAAAAAAATCATTCTGTGCATTTTGAACTTAAATTCTATATCGTCAAAGGGTGTTTTCACACTTCCGTCATTAAACTTTATTTTTAGTGACTTTTATTCTGATCAAATTAAGGGATGTTAATCCTAGGAATAGAACATTTTCCTATTTTGATCACCCAAAGTCAGTGTCCCAAGTCCTCTCACATTAGTTATAATGTAGTTTTGACGCAGAGTAAAGCACTTTGTAATCCTCTCAAATCTATGAAGAGCAGCCCTATATACTTCTACAGGATATTTTCCACTTTGTACAACAACAATCTGAGACTTCTCTGAGTGAGATAACCAATTTAGTTCCAATTTATAATATTTCTGTGTTATGTGCGCACATTCAACAAGATCGTGATTGAGATTGATCAACCTTCTCTCACATGAACCACTTCACTCAAGACTAAGAGAATTTCTTCCATTCAGTCTGGATTGGATTTGAAATTTGAACCAATGTCCAATGCCCTGCACCATTCAGTCTCCAGTCTATTTCTGTGATGGAGAAAACATTTGTTATGTTGAAAAGGAATCTTTATAAATTTGATAAATTGTTTGACAAGAATAGGTTTCTGAGAATTCAGCCTCTTAGAGACATGGCTATTTTTTATTTGGCATTGCTCTCAACTTTGTGTCACAATGTCACATTCATCACCACAACAACTTTTACTGTATATAGTGCCATTTACGCAGGGTAGCATCTCTGAGTACTTGGCATCAGTAACTTTTTTCTGCACCTTGAGATGGTAAATTTGAATGTATTTAAGTAGCATCTTATTTGGTACTGTACTTCTGGCAATAAATTAAGATGCTGTGTATTGTAATCTGTAGTACTCTCAGAAGGAGAATAATGTGCTTCAACCCTTGCAGTCTGAAAATAGCCCTGATGGACGTTGATCTCATATATGGATTCCAGTAGTTTCTACCACTGATATTGTTAATGCTATTGAGGTACTTTTTTCCAGCCTGGACTATGTTAATCCTTTTTGATAAAATCATCAACACTTCTTGTCTTTTTCTAGGTGGGAAGGAAAGGATGAAAATGAAGTTGGAATGTGCAAAGAAACTGGAACAATCCATATCAAGGTTGATCCCAAGTACTACAGACCTACTGAAGTGGTAAGGACAGTTTAAAAGTGATTTGAAAGTAACCTGCACTGCTCCTATACATTGAATCATAACACCTGTTAAATTCCCCTAATGACCTGGTAAAACCTATTAAATTACCCTAATGCTGTCATTTTGTTAGAGAAATGCTACGGGTCATTGGGTACACGTTGTCTTGGCAGTTGTATGAAGTTAGGAAAAAGTTTGCAATAAACATACCTTCACTTTTAGTCCCACTGCTTGTTGCATGGATTCTGCAATGCTGAAGTGGAGGTGTTGACAGTTCAGCACAGTTTTTGGTGCCGCTGCCACTTTTTCCTTCATGGGCTTTGCCTGTGAATTTGAAAGAAGGGTTGAGCCCTTGTTGTGCGATGATATTTTACACACTTGGGGAATGCATGAAATCATCCAGTATGTGCACGTGTCTTGAACACAGACCATCTTCGACAGAACAGCATCCTGCAGTTTCACTCCAGTACATATTTCTTCTAAAAGTCGTTTGCATTCTTTTTGCATTAAACAATTTCCAGTTGTATTGTGAAAGGGGTAATTTGAACTACATTTAAAGAACCAGCTTTATATTTTTCTCTATCAGGTTAACCCTCTCTTCAGTTTTTGTTCACCAAAGTTTTTGTTCGCCTGTCTTTTACAAAAGAGAAGGCAGAACAGCCCAGACATGCAACAGCAACAACAACAAGATTGCATTTATAGAGTGTCTTTCACGTCGGGAGGACGTCCCAAGGCGCTGGACAGTTTTGTCGGGATCCAAGCAGGGGGGAAATGGTCAGGGTGAGGGGAGGGAAGGGAGGGAGCGAGGAGGGGATAGAGAGTCGAGAGGGGAGCTGAAGGCACGGTTGAGGAGAAAGGTCTTGAGACCGGCCTTGAAGGAGGAAAGGGAGGAGGCGGCGAAGGCACTGGGGGATGGAGTTCCAGAGCCTCGGGGCTGAGAGGCTGAAAGCCCGGCCACCGATGGTAGGGCGGTTAGGGCGGGGAATATGGAGCAGACCGGAGCCAGAGGAACGGAGGGTACGGGCAGGTAGGTAGGGGGATAGTAGATCGGAGAGGTAGGAGGGTGCAAGGCCGTGAATGGCCTTGTAGGTGAGGATGAGGCTCTTGAATTCGATCCTCTGGGGGATGGGGAGCCAGTGGAGGCGAGCGAGGGTGGGAGTGATGTGGTCCCGAAGCCTGGTGCGGGACAGCACACGAGCTGCAGAGTTCTGAATGACCTGCAGCTTGTGGAGGGAGGTGCCGGGAAGGCCGACGAGGAGAGAGTCCCATAGTCCAGCCTTGAGGTGATAAAGGCGTGGACCAGGGTTTCAGCAGCGTGAGGGGTGAGGTAGTGCCGTAGTCTGGCGATGTTCCGGAGATGGTGGAAGGCGGTGCCAGTTGTGGTGCGGATGTGGAGAAGAAAGGACAGCTCAGGGTCGAACAGAACACCGAGGTTCCTGACTGGCTTTGAGAGGTGGAGAGTGCAGCCTTGGATGCTGATGCTGTCAGCGCCTGAGGTGCGGAGGCGCTGACGTGAGCCAATCAGGAGGGCCTCAGTTTTGCGCACATTGAGCTGAAGAAAGTTGTCTCTCATCCAGGACTCGATGTCGGACAGGCTGTCAGGACATCGGTGGTCGTGGAGTTGAGGGTAGAAGAGGAAAGGTAGAGTTGGGTGTCATCCGCATACATGTGGAAGTTAACCCCATGTGTGCAGATTATGTCACCAAGGGGGAGCATATAGAGGGTGAAGAGGAGGGGACCGAAGACAGAGCCCTGAGGGACACCGCACGAGGCAGTGCGGGGGCTGGAGGAAAAGCCGTTTGCAGAGACAAAATGAAGACGGTGGGAGAGGTAGGACCTAAACCACTCAAGGACAGGGCCTTGAAGGTTGAGGTGGGAGGACAAGCGGTGGAAGAGGATAGAGTGGTCGACCGTATCGAATGTGGCCGATAGGTGAGGAGGCAGAGGGAGCCCTGGTTGCAGATGGTCAAGATGTCATTGGTGACCTTGATCAGGGTGGTTTCCGTGCTATGGGCATCTTCAGGGAAGCCCATTTGGCTGCTTGTTAGACAATATTCTCTTCTTGGCAAGCTTTTCGTACTCTCCACTGGATCAAATTCAGACTGGGTCTAAAACGCAGATTGTGCCAATAGCCTGTGCCCAAAAACTAAATTATAGAAATTTATAGCACAGAAGAAGGCCATTCAGGCCATTGTGTTGTGCTGGCTCCTTTAAGAGCAATCCTTTCAGTTCCATTTACCTTTCCACATACCCTTGTACCTGATTCCTTTTAAGATATTTCATCTTGAATCTTCAAGATGAATTGGTCATTCACTTCATAACATGTTTACCTACAAAACACTTACTACACTTGACCATGAATACTCTAAAGGACTTTGAGATGAAATAAACAGCTATGAAAATGCAAGTTCTTTCTTCCAAATGAATGCACGTGCCTTTATTTATGTAATTAACCATTGAAAGAGGAACCAGAATCACCTGTAAACTTTTATAATTTGTTTAGTTGCAGAATCAAGGATGCTTGCAAACATTTATAATAATAACAATAATAATAATCTTTGCATTTGATATAGCCCCTTATCACGACTTCTAGACGTCTCAAAGAGCTTCACACAATATACTGCAAAGTGAATTGACTATATTTTGTGGGTGGAACGAGGCAACCAATTTTGCACAGCAGTGTCCCACAAACAGTCGTGGATTGAGTGACCAAATTATTATTTGAATATGGTTAGCCCATGGGTTATTAGCCCAAGTTGCATTTGCCCAAGACATCGCTGCTCACGTGTGCAGAAAGATGGCCAGCTCCATCACACTTCACATCTCATTGCTGCGCTGAAGTACATCAATGGGATTCAAAGCGTAATTTGAATTGTGACAACAATTTAGTTTGCACATTGTCGAGATATTGGATTTTTAGTTAAGAAAATGTTGGGGTCCACAACCCAATCATTATAAACAAAGCACACTATAATAAGATTCCACTGAACTCAGTGGATTCCTGTGAATTCTATTAGTTCAGTGTTACATCCAGATCCACAGATTAAGGCTTTAAATAATCACAGGAAATATTCAGACGACAAAGACTCTTCAGCCTATTTGATTTCTTCCTTCCACAATACCCACCGTACCAACCTCCTGTTGCAGTATCAAGCTGTTTTTTTAAATGAATCAGTATCCTGACTTTACCCGCCCTTCCTGGTAACCTGTTCCAGTCATTATTTACCCTATGGTTAAATATTTCCTGATATATGTTCTGAAATTGCCCTCTACAACCCTGCACATGTGTTGTCTTGTTCTGCTGTCTTGGCACAATTGAAGGTATTGTTCTGCATTTACTTTTTCAATCCCATTTAAAATTGTACGTACTGCATTTCTAAAAGGGCCCCTCTAAAGTGTATCTTGGAAAGACTGAAGACTCCCAAGTTTGTCTAATTGTCACTCGTAGATCATTGCTTATTGCTCTGAACTGCATGTAGGACCTGGGAAGCCCCCTTTTGTCACAGCAGCCAGAACCGTATGCAGTACGCCAGGTGCGATTTGACTAGACCACTATATTGCTTGAGTTTGTCATCCAGGGATCTGAACTCAATTGATTTGGCAATATGGTCCAGTATCCTATTTGCCTAGTTTATTACTGTCTTTTACAATCTTGATGTGGTGAGCAAAGGGTCAACTAACACCCCTTGGTGCATGTGTTTTCTATATGTAGTGTCTTGCATTTATCCATATTAAACCTCATTTGCCAGTTTTGAGCCGCATATGCAGGTCCTATCAAACTCTCTATGTAGGATCTTCACAGTCTCCTTAGTTCACAGTTTCCCCCAGCTTGAGTCCCAAACCCCTGATTGTCCAGCACCCTGGGTCGTCTTTCCAATGTGAAGGGTGCTGTACAAGTATAATTTGTTGTTGCTGTCATCTGCAAAATTAACAACCTTACACTGGGTCTGCGAATCAAGCTCATTAATATATACGAGGAACAGGAGATAATGAGCAATCAGGATAAACCAGTCACCTAATGTACTTCAACCGTTCTGCATATACAACAACAACAACAACTTGGATTTATATAGCGCCCTCCACGCCGGACAGCGTCTCAGAGCGCTTTATACTTATTTCTGTGTTGTAGTAATAATCTTTGCATTTGATATGCTGCAGTATATACAGTCTTCCATAATCCAAATAGTGAAACTTTCTCTGGGGACGAGGAAAGCTTATTTCTATATAGATTCCTGAAGCTTTTTACTATTTGCTGAAGGGGAGAAACTTCCCTATATTTCTTTTGTTTTGCTTAGTGTTGCTTCTAAACATTATTGTTTAATGCTTTAATTTAATTTAATTCATTTAATTTAACTAGACTCAGAGAGAGAGTTTCTCTTTGTCCAATAATGGTTCTGCATAATAGTGACATCCCGTTGATAATGAAATACTTAATCCAACAACAAAATGCATCAGAGCAATGCTGGATGTTGCAAAGCACCTGAGGCTGTGTTAAGTTAAGTGGAATGTGGAAGTAAACAAAGTGTGAAGGGAGGCCACTGCAGCAGTTTAATGTGTCAGACTACCTCAAAACCTTTCAAGATGGGCAAACAAAGTGCTGAAGGTCCAGTATTCAAGCACTGCCCTTTGGTGCACAGTGCCCTAGGTTATTTTGCATGCTTTTCCAACCTATTTTCAAGATTTGGAAATGAAGTAAGTGATTTTGTTCTTGGCTTGTGTTTTAAGTGCATTTTGTGTTGGTTCATGTTGTTACGCTGCATATTTTTCATGTTTAGCGAAACCTCTGCTTTCATTTTGGTAACTTTATGTTCTCCAAAGGTTCATGAGGAGAGTGAGTAAAAGCCAGATACCAAAAGTCATGTCAATTATAGCTTCTGTGTGTTATAAACAAACGTGGATCTCTCTCTGTCTCTTTCTCTGCTTGTTTTTCCTGCAATGTGTGATTTTTGAAGGCACAAGGATCAGTGTTGATGGGTTTGATTTAGTTTCCCCTTTGAGGGGGT